TGGTGAAAAACGAGCCCGGCACCTGCCGCCCGGCAACTCCCAACACCTGCCCGGACCCCCCTGTGGAGTGATCTGTGAGCTCTTTTGATCCCACTAGAAACCTATCAGTCTTCGCTGTTAGGTAACATGTGGTGTGCTCTGCACGGGATTGTCTTGTGGTTCCGCGATGTCTACCGCTCAAGTGCATGAGCTCGGGCTGGGCCATGGCACCGGGCGGTGCCACCACGCTGGCGGTGGGCGCCGCGGTGGGGGCTCCAGCGGCCTGGGCAGGCTGGCGTCTGGCGGCGAGTTGGTTGGCTGCGGTGGTCGCCGCGTCGACGAGCTGCCCGCCGTGCGTGTGCCACGCCCCGCTGGTGCTCCCCGCGCCGGCGCCCCTGTCCCCGCCGCCGCCAGCACCTGGCGCGGGGGGCCGTGGCAGCGGCTGTCGTGTGGGAGCTCGGGCCGTGGCTGGCCAAAGCTTCCACGACCCCCGCCACATGCCCTTCGGCGGAGGCGGTCGCGGCGGCGCTGCTGGAGCGGCTGCCGCCTGTCGGCCCTGTTGGGTCTCCGCCGGCGGCGCCGCCGCCCGAGGCCGGCCCAGCCTGGGAGACAGCGGCCCACGGCTGCTCTGCTGGCGTGGGGGGGGCTGGCTGGAGGCGAGCTGATGATCCTGGTGTGCTGCTGTACCGCCGCCCGTGTCCGCCGCCATGCTCGGTCCACTTCGACGTCGGCGACGGGGTTCGACGGTACTGAGGGCGGTGGAGGAGCGGTGCGCGGGGCTACGGCCAGATCGTCGTGTAGGGCTCTGGTATCCGCGGGACACGGTCTGGCACGAGCGGCTATTGCTGTACCCCGCCAGAGGGACGTACTGTTGGATCCTCACGCCCGACCTGAACAGGTATCCCGAGGACGTGGCGGGCTCCATGGGCGACGGGTGCGGCAGGGCCTTCGCCTGTGCTCCGAACGGCACGGCGCCCGCCCTGGCTCACGGTGCTTGGACCGTTGCCTGGCAGCGTTTCCGAGGCCTGGTGCAGACGTCGCGGAGTAACCAGATGCTCCACGCTGCTGGCGGGGCAGTCCCCGATCCTGTGGAGATCTTGGGACGGGACCCCTCGCCCATTCGCCGAGGTGCGCCGCCGCCTGCCGCTGCGGGTCGGCGGGGGCGCGGTGCACGGCCACCCCGCCTGGCGCCGTGCCGCTGGAGGACGCGGCGGCGCCTGGTCCCCCCGGGGCCCCCGCCGCCTCGGCCTCGCTGGGGCCGCCCGAGGGCTGCGCCTGGGTGGTGAGCTCACCCAGGCGCCTGCCCGTCGGCCAGGAAGCTACGCTGGAGTCGGACAGCGTGCGGCTGGACGAGACCCACGCGATGGTGGAGGACGGCTCCGTGTGGTAGTTGGTGGAGGCGGTGCGCATCGGGCTGGTGGACTCGTTCAGGGACAGCCGCTCACGCGAGCTCATCAGGCTGCTGGGAACCGACCTTGCTGAGAGGTATCCCGGAGGCGCTGGGCTCGGCGGCGAGGCGGCCGCTCCCGGAGCCTCCGTCGGAGCTCCCGACCTGGAGGCTGGCGAAAAGGACTTGAGAGATAGGCTCGGAGCGCCGCCGCCTGAGGGCCTTCAAAAGCCTGACGCTGGCGACGATGTGCGAACTTTGTGGGTGCAGCCTGACGAGCGTGGAGAGCGGCGCAAGCTGTGGCGGGAGGTCGTACGTGAGGTGAAGCGGTGTGCGTTCAAGGACTGGCCGCTGGAGGACGGCCTCTCGACGGTGGAGCACATGTTCAAGAAGTGGGAGCAGAACGGTGGGAACCCGTTGCTGTGGCTCGAGATGTGGACCCGCGATCGGATGCTGATTTCTACGGATCGGACCTACATCGAGATGGAGTGCCTGCTGTCCGCCATTTATTTCGCGGGGAGCTATGACCATATCAATCTCGCCAGCATGGCAAGCGTGGAAGTATTGTGCCGATGGGTGTCGCAGATCGTGGAGGCCTACCCTGGTGATCCGACGAAGCCCCCGAAATGGGGGGGCCTGCGTCACTGCGTGGGCGTGGCGGGCCCTATGGACGTCATCGACCCCGCCCTGCGCGCGGCGGTGTTCCGCCGCTGCAAGGAAGAGATGGAGCTGGAGAATTGGAAGGCCGCGCGACAGGCGTGCCCCCGCCGAACCCGCTGGCCCAGGAGGCGGGCGAGGGCCTGCCCACTGCTGGGGGCGCTGGTGGAGCCGATGGCCGAGGCAGCGGGCGCGGCGGCGGTCGAGGGGCTGGCGGCCGAGGCGGACGAGGCGATGCCGGACGAGCAGCTGGACGAGGAGGCGGCGGGCGCGGTGGCAAGCTCACCGCGCCCGCAGGAGGATGACTTCCTCCGCCGGCGGAGGGGGGCGTCCCGCCGGCAGTGCTCAGCCCAAGCGGGAAGTCGGGGTGGACTTGCTGTCGCTGTTCTCCCTGCCGAGGCTGGGCGACTGTAGCTTCGACGGCGCGCAGTTACAGGGCCGCGGTGCTGCGCGGCTCGCCGGGCGGGCCCGTCGTGATTTCACGGTGCGAACATCGTCGCCAGCATCGCTTTTATCGTCGTCGTGTCTACCGCTGTCGGCGTTGCCATGATGCCGCGCCCGCCGAAGTCGCCGACTCGCAGTGGAGTGCCCGCTGGGATTCGCCCGGCGGTCAGCGCCGCCGCGGCCGCGTCGGTGGCGCCAAACTAGCTGGCCGCTGCGCACGTGCTAGGGTTGGCGCGGCCGCAGGGATGCACCAGCCAACGCCGAGCATGCGTCGCAATCGCCACCGCCTGGGTTTTGCACGCCGAGCTGCGGGTGTGTGGGTTGGATGTTTGCAAGAACGCGGGATGTGTTAGCTCGTTTGTTAAAACCACTAGCGCCGCATTGATTTGACTTTCCGAAAAAGGACTCGGACCCCCCAAGTTTATCGGTGCATGTATGTGTGTGTGTGTGTGCCAATTTACACATGATTCTGCCCAATCGTCCATCCAAAATTTGAAATCATACCATCTCATCCGATCCGGTATCGACCCCCCCCCCAGCCATTCTTTACAACAAATTATTATGCGCGCGCATTCATTTATCAAGAATCATCAATTTCCAAGAACCCCTTGCAGAAAGTGGCGCAAAGTGTACGCGCGCGCGTCGTCGTGCGCGCATGCAGATATCCTTCAAGATTCTTCGGTTTCGGAAGGATTTGAAACCAACATAATACATTAGGGTATCGCAAGGTGGATTTTCAAACGAAAGCGTGCGCGCGCTCTTGCGAATCTAAAGAAAGCCATGCTTGTTCTTCAACCTTTTCAGAGCATACTACCAAACGGCCTTCGCGCGCGCATGTCGAAATCGTTCGAGTGCCTTTGCGCGCGCGCAGTCGCGAGAACCCTTTGCACTCAATTGGGCGAGATGCACGCGCGCGCGTCGTCGCGCGCGCGTGCCCATACCCTTCAAACACGTTTGGTTTCAGACGGTTTTCAAGGCCGAGTGTCCGACAAACATTCAAAGAACAGCTTCGACATCAGTTTCAACAAAATTATCCTGGCGAAAGACCCAACCATAAGCAATTGTTGGTAACGCGTTGTGGGTGCCGCTTTCGGTGGGGCTCCATATGGGGCCACGAAGCGCTGCCTTGGATGGGGGAACCGCATGCGGACTGCGCCACCGGGGCGGGCCTTCGGTGGAGCTCCCTATGGGGCTACGAAACGCTGCCCTGGGTGGGGGAACCGCATGCGAACTGCGCCACTGGGGCCTTCGGTGGAGCTCCCTATGGTGCCACGAAACGCTGCCCTGGGTGGGGGAAGCGCATGCGAACTGCGCCACGGGGGCTTTCGGTGGAGCTCCCCATGGGGCCACGAAGCGCTGCCCTGGGTGGGGGAACCGCATGCGAACACCCCCACTGGGGCCTTCGGTGGAGCTCCCTATGGGGCCACGAAACGCTGCCCTGGGTGGGGGAACCGCATGCGAACACCCCCACTGGGGCCTTCGGTGGAGCTCCCTATGGGGCCACGAAACGCTGCCCTGGGTGGGGGAACCGCATGCGAACACCCCCACTGGGGCCTTCGGTGGAGCTCCCTATGGGGCCACGAAACGCTGCCCTGGGTGGGGGAACCGCATGCGAACACCCCCACTGGGGCCTTCGGTGGAGCTCCCTATGGGGCCACGAAACGCTGCCCTGGGTGGGGGAACCGCATGCGAACACCCCCACTGGGGCCTTCGGTGGAGCTCCCTATGGGGCTACGAAACGCTGCCCTGGGTGGGGGAACCGCATGCGAACACCCCCACTGGGGCCTTCGGTGGAGCTCCCTATGGGGCCACGAAACGCTGCCCTGGGTGGGGGAACCGCATGCGAACACCCCCACTGGGGCCTTCGGTGGAGCTCCCTATGGGGCTACGAAACGCTGCCCTGGGTGGGGGAACCGCATGCGAACACCCCCACTGGGGCCTTCGGTGGAGCTCCCTATGGGGCCACGAAACGCTGCCCTGGGTGGGGGAACCGCATGCGAACACCCCCCACTGGGGCCTTCGGTGGAGCTCCCTATGGGGCTACGAAACGCTGCCCTGGGTGGGGGAACCGCATGCGAACACCCCCACTGGGGCCTTCGGTGGAGCTCCCTATGGGGCTACGAAACGCTGCCCTGGGTGGGGGAACCGCATGCGAACACCCCCACTGGGGCCTTCGGTGGAGCTCCCTATGGGGGCCACGAAACGCTGCCCTGGGTGGGGGAACCGCATGCGAACACCCCCACTGGGGCCTTCGGTGGAGCTCCCTATGGGGCTACGAAACGCTGCCCTGGGTGGGGGAACCGCATGCGAACACCCCCACTGGGGCCTTCGGTGGAGCTCCCTATGGGGCCACGAAACGCTGCCCTGGGTGGGGGAACCGCATGCGAACACCCCCACTGGGGCCTTCGGTGGAGCTCCCCATGGGGCACGAAACGCTGCCCTGGGTGGGGGAACCGCTGCGAACACCCCCACTGGGGCCTTCGGTGGAGCTCCCTATGGGGCCACGAAACGCTGCCCTGGGTGGGGGAACCGCATGCGAACACCCCCACTGGGGCCTTCGGTGGAGCTCCCTATGGGGCTACGAAACGCTGCCCTGGGTGGGGGAACCGCATGCGAACACCCCCACTGGGGCCTCGGTGGGCCTTGCCCTGGGTGGGGGAACCGCATGCCACTATGTGGAGCTCCCTACCACGAAACGCTGCCCTGGGTGGGGGAACCGCATGCGAACACCCCCACTGGGGCCTTCGGTGGAGCTCCCTATGGGGCCACGAAACGCTGCCCTGGTGGGGGAACCGCATGCGAACACCCCCACTGGGGCCTTCGGTGGAGCTCCCTATGGGGCTACGAAACGCTGCCCTGGGTGGGGGAACCGCATGCGAACACCCCCACTGGGGCCTTCGGTGGAGCTCCCTATGGGGCCACGAAACGCTGCCCTGGGTGGGGAACCGCATGCGAACACCCCCACTGGGGCCTTCGGTGGAGCTCCCTATGGGGCCTACGAAACGCTGCCCTGGGTGGGGGAACCGCATGTGAACACCCCCACTGAAACGGCCTTCGGTGGAGCTCCCTATGGGGCCACGAAAACGCGTGAGGAAGGAGCAGAGGCGCGGGAGGGGACTGTCTCTTCAAAACGAGGACCCAACAACACAGGTTGGTTGGGAAAAAAATGACAGTTTCGCAACATGAGTTTTCAAACATCCGCCGCCCACGAGATCTACAGAAACGACAGTTTCGAAACCCAGGAAATATGTAGAAAAACCCTCCGCCATGACGAAATCATAACGGACGGATTTTCCATATGTTTCCGGCCTCTGGGGGCCCACACCGGCCCTCGGGACCGTCACAAGAGGACCCGGCAGGAAAAAAACGCTCCTGGGCAATGGTCGGGCGTTAGCAGAACTTGGTTTAGTGGGACCTGGTTCAGTGATGTGTACCGGGGGACGCCCCCCCGCCCCGTTCCACTAACCGGACCTGCCGTCACCCGAAAATTATCCTGGCGAAAGACCCAACCATAAGCAATTGTTGGTAACGCGTTGTGGGTGCCGCTTTCGGTGGGGCTCCATATGGGGCCACGAAGCGCTGCCTTGGATGGGGGAACCGCATGCGGACTGCGCCACCGGGGCGGGCCTTCGGTGGAGCTCCCTATGGGGCTACGAAACGCTGCCCTGGGTGGGGGAACCGCATGCGAACTGCGCCACTGGGGCCTTCGGTGGAGCTCCCTATGGTGCCACGAAACGCTGCCCTGGGTGGGGGAAGCGCATGCGAACACCCCCACTGGGTGGAGCTTTCGGTGGAGCTCTCCTATGGGGCCACGAAACGACACCCCCACTGGGGCCTTCGGTGGAGCTCCCTATGGGGCCACGAAACGCTGCCCTGGGTGGGGGAACCGCATGCGAACACCCCCACTGGGGCCTTCGGTGGAGCTCCCTATGGGGCCACGAAACGCTGCCCTGGGTGGGGGAACCGCATGCGAACACCCCCACTGGGGCCTTCGGTGGAGCTCCCTATGGGGCCACGAAACGCTGCCCTGGGTGGGGGGGAAACCGCATGCGAACACCCCCACTGGGGCCTTCGGTGGAGCTCCCTATGGGGCTACGAAACGCTGCCCTGGGTGGGGGAACCGCATGCGAACACCCCCACTGGGGCCTTCGGTGGAGCTCCCTATGGGGCCACGAAACGCTGCCCTGGGTGGGGGAACCGCATGCGAACACCCCCACTGGGGCCTTCGGTGGAGCTCCCTATGGGGCCACGAAACGCTGCCCTGGGTGGGGGAACCGCATGCGAACACCCCCACTGGGGCCTTCGGTGGAGCTCCCTATGGGGCTACGAAACGCTGCCCTGGGTGGGGGAACCGCATGCGAACACCCCCACTGGGGCCTTCGGTGGAGCTCCCTATGGGGCCACGAAACGCTGCCCTGGGTGGGGGAACCGCATGCGAACACCCCCACTGGGGCCTTCGGTGGAGCTCCCTATGGGGCTACGAAACGCTGCCCTGGGTGGGGGAACCGCATGCGAACACCCCCACTGGGGCCTTCGGTGGAGCTCCCTATGGGGCCACGAAACGCTGCCCTGGGTGGGGGAACCGCATGCGAACACCCCCACTGGGGCCTTCGGTGGAGCTCCCTATGGGGCTACGAAACGCTGCCCTGGGTGGGGGAACCGCATGCGAACACCCCCACTGGGGCCTTCGGTGGAGCTCCCTATGGGGCCACGAAACGCTGCCCTGGGTGGGGGAACCGCATGCGAACACCCCCACTGGGGCCTTCGGTGGAGCTCCCTATGGGGCCACGAAACGCTGCCCTGGGTGGGGGAACCGCATGCGAACACCCCCACTGGGGCCTTCGGTGGAGCTCCCTATGGGGCCACGAAACGCTGCCCTGGGTGGGGGAACCGCATGCGAACACCCCCACTGGGGCCTTCGGTGGAGCTCCCTATGGGGCTACGAAACGCTGCCCTGGGTGGGGGAACCGCATGCGAACACCCCCACTGGGGCCTTCGGTGGAGCTCCCTATGGGGCCACGAAACGCTGCCCT